AACCTGCACTTGTTGCCAAGTCTTCCATATTACTAGATGTGAAACCTTGGGACGATGAGACAGATATGGCAAAACTAGAGGAGTGTGTCCGAAGCATTCAGGCAGACGGCTTGGTCTGGGGCTCTTGTGAGTTCAATCTTTGCTTTTTGGAAGTGGCATCTGGAAGTTGCGTAGTTAAAATGTTTGTCAATCAACAGGACTTTGCTAACTAAGATTTTTCTTAATGTTCTTTTCAGCTAAACTAGTTCCAGTGGGATATGGAATTAAAAAACTTCAAATACAGTGTGTAGTGGAAGATGATAAAGTTGGAACAGATATGCTGGAGGAGCGGATCACTGCTTTTGAGGACTATGTGCAGTCCATGGACGTGGCTGCTTTTAATAAGATCTAATATCTACATCATAGATCATTGCCCTTAAATAAAAGCTTAAAAGACAGCTGCTGGCTCTTGACTCTTATGTAGGGTAGTTTCCATTTTGAGGGAAGAAATTCAATGGTTATATAATTCATAAAAATAAATTTGGGTCAGCATTGTTAGATATTTAGCCTAAAAACGAGGAAAATATCTATTGTAAATACTATGAATAGAGGTAGGTGTTGAATAGATTTTATAAACAAATTAATAGAAATGTACTCAGTCTTAGTATAGTTTCTGTACCCAATGCACAAGGATGCCGGTTTTAATACCACAGTGTTGTAAGTTTCATATTTGCTTTGTTTTAAAAAGAAATCAGGTAAGCTTCACTTGGGGAAATTTTGGATTAAGAATTTCAACTAGATTTTTTAGCCCTGTAGATTATAATGGTTCACACCTTGGGCTTTTTTGCAAGGAGTTTCAATGTAATACCCGGGCTGGTTTTCTGCAGTGGAAATGTTGGAAGTACCTTAATGATGAGAAATGGATCAATACATATAAAGTGCTTAAGATGGTAACTGGGCACAGTGAATGCTTTGTTTGCTGGAATAGTTAATGAAATATTTGGAAAAAGTTAAATGTTGAGATGGCTCAATGACTTAAATGACTGATGAAGTAATTTGTTGTCACATAGGATCTTCAAGTTGGGGGTTACTCCAGATTGAAAAATCACACAATTAAAAATCCCACTTGAAAGCAATATGATATAGGATGGGGTGTGCAACTTCACTAAAGGACACCTAACCCAGAGGATGGAAGTTAGGTCCAAGGAAGGATTCCCAAAATTTGTTACAAATTAATTTGTCAAGGCAAATACTGCAAGTTGAAGATCATGCCTCATTTACTATTAAGGGAGAACTTAATTAATTTTAAGATTTTTTATTTGAGAGCCAGAGCACAAGCAGGGGGGAGGGGTAGAGGGAGAAGCAGACTCCCTGCTGACCCACGAGGGGTTCAATCCCAGGACACTGAGATGACCTGAACAGAAGGCAGATGCTTAACCGGCTCAGGCACCCTGATGGAGAGCTTGATTGGTGCTTTGGAGAATGGTTTTGCACTATGTCGTGGGAAGGAGGTTATACAGGTAATTGATGCCCAGGCTGTGGTTCATAAACCTGGCTTTGGTGTGGAGGTGGGGACTGAGTGGGACATTTTTTTGGATTGGATAGCAACCTATTGTGGTGAAGGGACTTCAATAATGAGGTAGTGCAGGGCACCTGGGTGACTCAATTGGTAGAGCGTCTGCCTTTGGCTCCGGTCATGGTCTTGGGAGTCCCAGAATTGAGCCCCACATTGGGCTCCCTGCTCGGTGGGGAGTCTGCTGCTCCCTCTGCCCCTCCCCACTGTTTATGCTTGCTCTTGCTTCTCAAAGTTTTAAAAATCTTTAAAAAATGAGGTAGTGCTGCAGCTAAGTAGGTGAAGGCAGCTTTTGGTTCTTAAAGGTCTTGAACTCATGACCTTGAGATCAAGACCTGAGCTAAAACCAAGAGTTGGATGCTTAACTGACTGAGCCAGTCAGGCACCCCAGGAATTACTGACTTCTAAAAGTCTTTGTGGTCTCTAATCTGTAGACCAAAATGATTAAATGATTTGTTTGAGGTCAGAATTTTCCTAGCCAAACCAGACAGTTCTATGCTTTTCCTCTCAATCTGATTTTCTTTATATGGGAGACTACCTTAAATGTGGGAAATTGTTTATTAAATTTGAGAGGTAATTTATTTAACTGGTACAAGTATGTACCAATGACTATGATCATCTTCACTAAGTACTTCCAACGTCATGAGAAATTTTCTGGTTGTCAGTGTCCTGAGAGCCAGCAGAGGGCAGCACTTCATTTTCTGTAGAACCAGAGCCTGGGGATTCTGGAAATGTTGCCATGGAAAGATCGAGATGTAGCAACTAGTAAATAGTAGCCCCAGATCACTCACAATCATTGACATGTTAAAGGGATTGAGCACCAAAAAGCTGGAAGAAGTATTAACAAAAATGATAGAAACCATTGATTAAAAATATGGTTAAAAGTAAAAAATTTAGAATGGTCATTTCAAACCACAGCTGTCTTGTAAATCTTAAAATGATAAATGAAGCACATGACTAAAAATCTTGACTCCAGGGGCGCCTGGGTGGCTCAGTCGTTAAGCATCTGCCTTCAGTGACTCGGGTCATGGTCCCAGGGTCCTGGGATTGAGCCCTGTGTCGGCCTGTCTGTTCCGCCGGAAGCCTGCTTCTCCCTCTCCCACTCCCCCTGCTTGTGTTCCCTCTCTCGCTGTGTCTCTCTCTGTCAAATAAGTAATCTTTTTTTTTTTTTAAAGATTTTATTTATTCATTTGAGACACAGAGATAGCATGAGCAGAGAGAGAGGCAGAGGGAGAGGGAGAAGCAGGCTCCCTGCTGAGCCAGGAGCCTGATGTGGGGCTTGATCCCAGGACCCCGGGATCATGACCTGAGCTGAAGGCAGACGCTTAACCATCTGAGCCACCCAGGCGCCCCAATAAATAAAAAATCTTAAAAAAAAAAAATCTTGACTCCGCGGCCTCACATAAATATATTTAGTGGTATCTTTTAATTTTGTATTTAAAAAAATAGATAATACAGTAACATAGTTCAAAACAAGAAGTTATACAGTGAAGTCTGTGTGTGTCTCCCCGCCCCCCCGCCCCCTCTCCCAGGCCTCCCATTTAGCTCCATAAAAACAACCAATGTCAACAGGTTCTTAGCTCTTTCCAGAACTAGTGTGAGCATATGCATGAAGTAATTGTAGCATACAATGCAAACTGTTCTGCACCTTTTACTTCGTCCATAAAAATAGACTTGGATGTCTTGGAAATCATATCTTGAATATTCCATGTCAGTACTTATAAAGCTTTCTCATTTTCTTTTTTTTTTTTTTTAAAGATTTTATTTATTTATTTGAGAGTGAGAGAGAGAGCACAAGAGGGGGTAGGGTTAGAGGGAGAAGGAGACTCTCCGCCGAGCAGGGAGCCTGATGTGGGACTCGATCCCGGGACTCCGGGATCATGACCTGAGCCGAAGGCAGTCGCTTAACCGACTGAGCCACCCAGGCACCCAAGCTTTCTCATTTTCTAACAGTTACATAATCTATTGTCTCATATCTTATTTAACCAGTCTATTTATTGGAGCTTTAGATTGCTTCAGCTTTCTGCTGTTATAAGCAATGCTCACATTTGCATGTGAGCCTGTATACTGAATAACCTGTTTTTGAACCAATGGGCTCAGAAGGCATAGGTGGACATAGAGAAAGAGATTTTTTGGTTTGTTTCTGGCTTTGGAGTATTAACAAAAGATAAAAGAGGCCAGCTTTTTTTTTTTGTATGCCCATAAATGATTACAGTAACTCAGACCGTATTTATTTTTCATATTTGGCATCCCTCACAGAAGGCTGAGAACAGTGTGGGAATTAAAAATGATTCAGTGTCACTATGTTAGAAGCTATAAAAATACAAAAAAGGTAAGAAAATTACAATAGGGAGGTGGCTTGAACACACATAAAATTGTTAAAAATTAGTCATTTGTGGGCGCCTGGGTGGCTCAGTTGGTTAAGCAACTGCCTTC